GAGAAGAAGACCTCAACACTAGAAGTTTTCAAAGACTGGCATACAGGGCAAACACCAGTAAACACTTCACAGTCTTTACACAAACTCAAGTGCCTACACGGCACGAGGAAGACCAAAACCTCCTTTATGTTACACGACTTGCATCCCATCCCAGCACTTGGCACTATCTGGACGTTCAGGTAGTTGTATGAGGCTGCCTCGTCATTAATCTCGCTATCCCCAAACTCTTCTTTCGCTTGATGATGATCAGCTACTAATCCTGCTGCATTGTTGTTGTTTCCATGTGACATCACTTGTTGCAGATTTACCTTTTAAGGCTTTAACCACGGATTCATTGTATTTCGCCTTGTAATGCCAGTTCTGAGCTTCCACCGCCACTTGTTTTATCTTCTCAACGAGTTCTCGGTTCTTCTTGTTCATGCTTTCGACTTCTTGATCTTTCTCTTGAATCTTCTTACTCACATCCTTCTCTAAAGCTGTGACAAAGAACGCAACATGTCTCTGTTTTATATCTCTCACACCTTTAGCCATTTTATCTGCCTGTTCCAAGCAAGACGACAATCTCAAGAATGTTGGGAATGCAAGTCAAAACATAAACTTTGCAGATATAATTAGTACCCGGAATTTGATAAACTGATCAAGTTCGTCTTTCTGTCTATCGAGGTCCAATCTGATATTATCACCAAGTGACTGAAAGACTGGAGTCGTGATGCTTCCATTTGCACAAGTTACAGAAGAATTTTGCTCATCGTCATCGTCATAAGAAAGTCTCAGACCAGTTGACACTAAGTTCTGCTTTGGGAGTTCATCTTGAACAACACTATTGTTGTTGTTGTAGTTATTATAATTCAAAGAGATCTGCAGCTTCTGCTGTCTCTGGATATTATTGTTGATTTCGGCTTCCCTTCCACGTTTGCTATTATGCCGAATCATTGGAGCAAGGTTATCATTAGCAAAGTAGTTTACAGGATCAGTAGTGCAACCAGCTCTCACTGTAACCACATACAAAGGGAACAGCTTTAGCTCTATAACGTGGTAACAACGAATGATGTAAAAACTCAAAAACTTACTAGTTCCTAGCAAGTGAAGCTGATTCAACGATGTGTTTGATTGGTACTGAAACTGGTTACCGTTCATTAGAACCTGCGGCAATGGGTTCTCATTGTTCCCTCCCAACATCTTCTCAAGACCTTTAACCGCTTTGTGTATGTAGTCGTAAAGTATTAAACTTGCAGAAGAATTACAGTAAGAAACCTGCAGAAAACTGAAACTAATGAGCTTAATTCTCTACACCTTAACCATTTTGTGTATATAGCCGTAAAGTATTAAACTTTCAGAAGAATTACAGTAAGAACTTACAGAGAACTGAATCTAATGAGCCAAGACATACCAAGATTTAACTATCCTAAGAAATTCAGATTACAATCCAACTAGAGAAACTGTAATTTTTGAGGAAACTATGCTTCAAAAACAGAATGATCAAGGCCTGGATATAATTTCCAAAAATATAACAAGTAGGAGTTGATTGATTCTTCATAAACACCCAGATGGGAAAACTTGTGAATTCATATAGTAGTCAACCATTTGATTAAGGAGACATTTATAGAGGATAAAGTTTACCCATTTGATTAAGTTTCCTTTTTTTTTTGGTTTTATTTGATTCAGTCTCTATGATCTTAATTGGGGATACAAGGGAGTTAGGAACCATGTTGATTGATCATGGTCAAAGATTCATCTAAATATCCAAAATTAATCAAATAAGGTAATTCTATTGAACATGGAAACAACATAGCAACTTCAAAGAACAAAGACATACTACGAGAACATTTGTACCTCTTAAGATTCAACCAATCAATTTACAGAATACAAATTAAACCGTAGCTTCCTTCAGAATCCTGCATAACACACATAAGAAACACAAAATAA